GCTGAACAGGACCCCTGGGCTGGGTCGCTGTGCAGAAGCGCTGGACAGGACTCTGGACGGAACGCTGGACTACCTCTGGACAGGACCCTATGGGGACAGTATTCTGGGCAGGGATCCCGTCGACAGGCCCACTGGACAGGACTAGTGGACAGGACCCTGGGCAGGGCAAGGGAGATGGGCGAGGGCAAGCGGCTCCCCGAATCTCGTTAAAATCCAAGAGAGAAAAGAATGGCCCGGGCGGGGTCCCCCGCCGCGTGGCGTGCCATGGCGCCCCGCGTGTCCTCTCTTGTCTCTCTTGTGCCCTGCCCGGTCGGTCCCGCCTGTCCCCGCTGTCTCGCTGGGCAGTGAACAATTATCTCTGCAGAACAATCGGCACACCCGCCGGGTCCCCGGATCGGCCCGGCCAGCCTCCGGGAAAGGGGATAAGGGGGGGGGGGGCACAAGGCTGCCCGCTGCCCCTTTCAGCTGCGAAGCGGAGAAAAAGATGGAAGAGAGCCTCTGTGCCATGAGAGCGCTTTCCTCTTGCGAATAAAGCAACCTGACACCTGACACGCGCGGGCGGAATAACAAATTTAAATCCCGTGAGGGAGAGAGAGGCAGAGAACTCAAGGAATGAAAGTATGAAAACATTAAAAGTGCATGACGTGATGTCACACACTAAAAGAGAGTGTCTCAACGTCGCCGGCGGCGTTGCATTTTTGTTGTTGCGCGACCGTTTGATGTCTGCTTGTTGCGAAGTTCTAGAAGGATGAGAGTCGGGATTGGGAGTAGGGGCTGCCTTGCAAGCAGCTGGAAGTGGGTTGAAAGGTAGCCGAGTGGACTATATAGTGTAGCGACTGGATTCAATTACCCTTCGCCTTTGCCTGCGATAAAAGTGATTTCTCGCCGCTCGGGTTTCGCTGCCACGCCACTGCTGCTCCAGCCGGAGGCTGGCCTCGGCGCGCTCCATCAAATTAGCCTTTTTATTTACTCTCCTTTTTTTTTTTTACTTTTTATGCATTTTAAAAAGAAGGATGCGGCGGAACCGAGTGAGTGTAACTCGGAACCCGGAACTCTAACCCGCGCTCTGTTCGCTCTGTTCGCTCTGTTCGCTCTGTTCAGGACGTACAGTCTGCGTCTATTTTCAAGCAAATAAAATGCACAAGTACAAGAAGTATGTAACTTTCGCACTCTTGGATTCCAATAAGTGCGAGGGACCAATGTGCCATTACCTGCTGCCCGACTCTTTCTTCTTTATTTATCGTTGGAATGATGGAGAGGGAGTGATTGCTCAGGGATTATTATTTGCCTGCTGTTGCGGGCCCCCGGCGCGGTGCCCGGCCTCGACTGGGGCTGTGGGCGGCGCGGGCCACGCCGAGCCACGCCCAAACCGCCGCGGAGCTTCTGACGGATCGGCAGGGGGCAGGGACCAACCGGCCGGGGTCCCGCCCAGCAGGAGAGAGCTTTAAAAATAATGAACAACCGGACAGGCGGGCTCAGGCGGGTGGGCTGGGGCATAGGCCGCTCGCTGATCCTGCGTGTGTTTATGAGAGACAGAGAGAGATTATTTTGATAGATTTTTTTTTTTGAATGCTTTATGAATACAGTAAGGCACAAAAAGGACTATAGAGTCCAACTGGAGTGCCATTAGAATGGTAACGTATACGTGTAGTCAAAAGATAAGACCAATTTAAAATCAGCAGAGATCCAAAATATGTGCCGAAATAACAAAATAAAAAGATAGCAAAGAAAATTTGATTTAATTATCGATTTAATGACCATTTCAATGTTCAACTGTGCTGGAAATCCTCCTTGATATGCAACACAGTACCGTCTACTAACTCATTTGAACTGAAACGCTGCGTATATGCAGAATGTGGGAGGGGGAGGGGGGAGTTAAAGCGGGAGCCCAAGAAACAGTAGCGATGACAGAGAAGAGAGGAAGGAGAGACAACACAGCTTTCTAGCGCCCTGGAAATTGAACGTCAGCGCCAGGGGAGGGGGCGTGTCAAGAAGCCCGGCGCGTCGCCGCCGTGTGCGGCTTCTGCGGAAGAAAAATGAAAGAGAGCGACACAAGCGTGTGACGCGTACGTGAGGGATAACGACCCGCGCTGGACCAGAGTGTCCAGGGGGATGCTGTGGGTGGGCAGCCAGCGACTCACGGTGGTGACGTGGTGCGGTGCGGGGCTTCGTATAGTGACGTTGATGATGGTGGTATGCTGATGTTGATGGCGACGGCATGGTGATGGTGGCGATGGCGATATGACGACCACATCGTGAAACTGAAATCCATGATTAGCATACTCACACCATACAGTGGTCGACTCTAGGCTCGGACCCCCCGCTCCGCCCTGCCCCGCTCTCTTTCCGGCCGGATGCTGCTCTGCTGCCGCTGCCGCTGTTGATCCGGCGCTGCTGTTCTCCCCCTTTCCCCCTCCCCCGTC